CTCAGTAGTTGTGGCATGCAGGCCCAGTTGCTCTGCGGCATGTGGGATCTTCCCGGACCAGGGCTCGAACCCATGTCCCCTGCATTGGCAGGTGGATTCTTAACCACTGTGCCACCAGGGAAGCCCAGCAAGTGTATTCTTTATAGATGTAAACTAGTGGAAAATTGGAAACAACCTAAATATTCATCACTATTGGAATGGGCAATAAATCAAGTATATTTACAGTATAAAATACTGTATAGCCGGGCTTCCCTGGTGGTGCAGTGGTTGGGAGTCCACCTGCCGATGCAGGGGACATGGGTTCGTGCCCCAGTCCGGGAAGATCCCACATGCCGCGGAGCGGCTGGGCCCATGAGCCATGGCCGCTGAGCCTGCACGTCCGGAGCCTGTGCTCCACAACAGGAGAGGCCACAACAGTGAGAGGCCCGCGTACCGAAAAAAAAAAAAAAACTATATAAAAAAAAAATAACCAAAATACTATATAGCCACTTATAATAATAATATTTAATGATATGGAAACAGTCTCATGATAGGTGAAAAATCTGGATGTAAAATTGTTTTTACAGTATGATTACAACTTGGTTTAAATTTTTTTACGTTTATACATAAAAACACAAGCTGGATTGAAATATTAATAGTGATTTTATCTAAATATTAAAAATTTTCTCCTTTGTACTTCTCTGATTTTCCAAATCTTCTACATTGAACATGTATTACTTTTATAATCAGAAAAATATTATTTAAAATACATAAATTTGCATAGAATCAGCAGTCAAAGGAAATATACAATGGTTATCTTTGAGTGATAGGTAAGTCATTTTTAGTTTCTCCTTTATAGTGTTTACCATTTTCCAAATTTTATAATGAGCAATTTTTCCTTTTTTTATAATAAACATTTAAAAAAACAGTCTCCATAGGCTAGATAACCTTTTAAGTATATTTTTAAGATTCTCATAATTACTTTTAAGAGAATGTTAAATACACATGGTAAATATCGCATTGTACATATTATTTTGTAATTTATTTTCCCTTAATGTATTATGACCATTTTTAATGAACATTTTAATGCTTTTAAATATTCATCTAAGATATAATTTTTAATGGCTTTGTATTTTCTCATTATAGTTTTTACCAGATTTTGATTTTCTAATTCAAACTCTGCTTCAATGAACATTCTTATTCATAAATCTTTCTCAGATACTCCTCCAGTTTAAGTTCTCCTCAGTTTCCTGAATGACGGTAGCTCAGCCTCTGATTTCTCTCCAGCGCAACAGGACACTTATCCCCTCCCCAGGTGGGCAGTCCAGATCAGTGCCCCCGCAACTTGAATGTACATTTGAGTCACCTGGGCATCTTTTTTTTGAACTGCAGGTTCTGATTCAGTATGTCTTGAGTGAGACCCAGCACTTATTTCTTTTCTTTTTTTTAAAAAATAAATTTATTTTTTTATTCATACTCTTTATTTTTTTTTCTGCATTGGGTCTTCGCTGCTGTGCACAGGCTCTCTCCAGTTGCAGTGAGCGGGGACCACTCTTCGTTGCAGCGCGCAGGCTTCTCACTGTGGTGGCTTCTCTTGTTGCCGAGCATGGGCCCTAGGCACACGGGCTTCAGTAGTTGTGGCACGTGGGCTCAGTAGTTGTGGCTCGTGGGCTCTAGAGCGCAGGCTCAGTAGTTGTGACACACGGGCTTAGTTGCTCCACAGCATGTGGGATCTTCCCGGACCAGGACTCGAACCCGTGTCCCCTACATTGGCAGATGGACTCTCAACCACTGTGCCAGCAGGCAAGTCCCCTAGCAGTTTTTTCTAGTGGGCTTCCCCTGAGGTGCATGCTGTGGTTCTGCAGACCACATTCTGAGGAGCAGGTTCAAAGCCAGTGTATCTTCTGCCAATTCAAATGACTCAGAAAGCCTTCTTCCTGTCTCAAGGTCTGTCTCAATAGAATTCTAATCCCAACTCCACCACACTGGTCATGGCTCCTCCCTGCAAAACCATGTGGAAGAATTTTAATTCACCTGAACGAGATCTCTTACCAGTTATTTTAAGGCAGCTGATGTGTTCCTCTGAATTTTCTTTCTCAGCTTTTCATTCTGCATGGGGCATGGCTTGAAGTGCCTCAGCATCTTGATTTCTTTCTCCTTTGTCCTTTTTACAGTATAGCACCCAGAACTGAAAGTATTGCTTACGGCGCAGGCTGATGGGCTGTGGGTAGAGGGCGACTATCATGACCCTCATCCCCAATAGAATCCTGCTGTGAATTCAGCTAACAGCCCATGACACTGGAATGACTCATGGTGAACCCACTGTCAGCTAAGAGCCTGAAATTTCCACAGGGGGTGTTGTTGGTTCACATCTCCCTCAGCTTCTACTTGAGCAATTGAATCTGAATCTAAGTGACCCAAGAGATCCCTGTTAAGCTCCAGTTTTCTCACTTGAATTTGGCATAGGGCTGTCCTTGTCTCAGAGAAAAATGCTATGACCACAGGAAGGGGGCGATGTTGACTCAGGGATCCCACCACCATTTGGACCAATACAAAGGTGTTGCCGGTATTTGCAAATTACTGTAAACCTTTATTGGCTTCATTTAGGAATCTTGCCATTGACAATCACATTTCTGAAGAAGGAATCTACAGCAATTGATGATAATGCAGAAGTTTTTATTTTTAGTTTATTGAAGTAACCTTTCTCCTAACTAACCATTTCCTTTCCCCTGCCCATTTATCCAATATGGGGTGAAATAATTTCTATTAGTAATATGTAATGTTACTAACATATGAAATATGATTTTATACTCTTCGTGGAAAATTCAGAAAACATCGAAGTTAAAGAGGAAAATAAAAATCCCATATGATGCCATCATCTAGTTGATGATGTCATGTAGTTGATACACCCTTGTTGGTGTATGTCATTGGTTGGTGTATGTCATCCTTTCATTCTTTTTTATTTGCATGTTTTTTTTTTGGCTGCGCCACACAGCATGTGGGATCTTAGTTCCCCAATCAGGGAATGAACCCGTGCACCTGTATCAGGAGCATGGAGTCCTAACCACTGGACTGCCAGGGAAGTCCCTGCATGTTTTTAATCTTACTAAAAAGCCAATATTTTAAACTTTTATTACATGAGTAACAGATGTTCATTATAGAAAAAAGTGGAAATACAAATATGCAAAAGAAGAAGAAATAGAAATCCTATTATCTAGAAATGACTTCTTGTTACATTTGGGTGTGTTTTTTTAAAGATGTTTAAATCTGCATATATATTTTATTTTTGTTAATATATTTATACAGTAATACTATATTATAAAGGTTTTTTTCACTTGACAGCATATTGGAAGCATTTTCCCACATAAAGAAATATACATATTAATAATATTTAGGGACTTCCCCAGTGGCACAGTGATTAAGACTCTGCCTGCCAATGTAGGGGACACAGGTTCGAGCCCTGGTCTGGGAAGATCCCACATGCTGCGGAGCAGCTAAGCCCGTGAGCCACAACTACTGAGCCTGTGTGCCACAAGCACTGAAGCACTCGTCCCTAGAGCCCGTGCTCCACAACAAGAGAAGCCACCGTCCGCGCACAGCAACAAAGACCCAACGCAGCCAAAAATAAATTTAAAAAAATTTTTATATAAAAAATAATGTTTAATATTTATGCATTATAGGTATGCTATATATCTAATATTTTAAAAATATGTTTCTACAATATTTTTTTTTTGGGGGGGTACACGGGCCTCTCACTGCTGTGGCCTCTCCCGTTGCGGAGCACAGGCTCCGGACGCGCAGGCTCAGCAGCCATGGCTCACGGGCCCAGCCGCTCTGCAGCATGTGGGATCCTTCCAGACCGGGGCACGAATCCGTGTCCCCTGCATCGGCAGGTAGACTCTCAACCACTGCACCACCAGGGAAGCCCTACAATATTATTTTAATGGCTGAATGTATTCCATAATATCAATGTACCATAATTTATTTAAGTGTCCCTCTATGGTTCAATATTAAGACAGTTTGTTATTTCTTGCTGGGACATAAAGTTTTTATTCGAAACAGAATCACTCACTAGGTCATGTGTTCTCAACTTCTTTCTTAATATGTACTACTTGGTGATGCTTAACTCAATGTTCTTAAATATTTTTAATTTATTTATTTTTTAATATTTATGTATTTATCTGGCTGCACTGGGTCTTAGTTGCGGCATGCAGGATCTTTGTTGCGATGTGTGGGCTCCTTAGTTGCAGCACATGGGATCTTTTTAGTTGTGGCATGTGAACTCTTAGTTGAGGCATGTGGGATCTAGTTCCCTGACCAGGGATCGAACCCAGGCCCCCCTGAACTGGGAGGGCGGAGTTTTAGCCACTGGATCACCAGGGAAGTCCCCTCTTAGTTTTTAAACTTAACTTTATTACAATTATACATTTCAGTGTGCTAATATAGTTTACCTACTTGGCATTTTTAATGGCCAATATGGCATTCTATTAGTTGCGTATATTATAGATTACTTAGCATCACAAATAGCAATTTGAAATTGCTATTTCCAACAAGAAAATTCACAATGAATGTTGAACAATACAGTAGATAGCGTTTGTTTTTATTTTCCATGTATCTTTCTATTCATATTCATGAACATTTTCTAACATTTTCTATATCCATGCCTCTACTCCAGGCTGTAAAAGCTAAGTCAACAGAACCTCTCCTTTCAGGCTACTCTACCATGAGGGTAGGCAGGTTTCACTTTGATTTACCCAGAGTTCTTTCTTGTGACTTCTGCATGATGATGCAGGAGAGGAATTCCCTCCATGGCCTTGACTGGCTGAATCACTTTTCATGGTTTCGGTTCTGTGGAAAACTATTCTAGAGAACATTTAGTGAACTGACTCTGAATGGTTTCACAGTGTGAAATTTACTTTGTAAGAATATTATTTCACCTGTAGTTGAAGCAAGTTGCTAGTTTTGGCAATCCCTCTCTTGTTATGAGAACTCACATGAGCCAAATTCCACTTTCAGAAACGATGCGGGCCAAGCTTCATGCTGTGTAAGTTCATAACTAAAGATGGCAAATTTCTGAATGGGTTCATAAGATGAAAAACAACTTACTTGTGCTCACTGCCTTTCCTTAGAAATTAATTCCAGAATGTTTTAAATGCCTACATACAGTCATAGATTTAAACTGCTAATGACAGTAGTGAATGAATTCAGAAACAAGGCATATCAATATTTTCAGATGGATTACACCACATGCTTTAATAATTTTGCAAATAGGGAAATTCTGATATTGAAGGGAAACCCTCTTAGTTCCTATAAAGATAATATGTCATCCTGAAGAATATTTTTAAAGACAGCAACTTGAAAATTAAGAATTCCATTCAAGTTTGACAGGGTTTGGTACAATAAATATTTGATGAATGAATGTATAGTTTATATTTATTCTACCAGGATAGTAAAAAATATGGCTGTAGTCTCTCTCTCTCTCTTTTTTTTTTTTGGCCGTGCCTCGAGGCATGTGGGATCTTAGTTCCCCTACCAGGGATTGAACCCATGCCCCCTGCATTGGGACCGTGGATGGAGTCTTAACCACTGGACTGCCAAGGAAGTCCCTCTAGTCTCTTGATTGCCATATGGTATATCTTTTGGTGGGAGCACAAGACTGGCTGTCATTTTGTCTTTGGTTTTTTTTTTTTTTTTTCTTTGCGATGCACGGGCCTCTCACCACTGCGGCCCCTCCCGCAGCGGAGCACAGGCTCCGGACCCGCAGGCTCAGCGGCCACAGCTCACGGGCCCAGCCGCCCCGCGGTACGTGGGATCCTCCCGGACCCGGGCACGAACCTGCGCCGCCCGCATCGTCAGGCGGACTCCCAACCACTGTGCCACCAGGGAAGCCCTGTCTTTGGGTTTTAACATTTGGTTTTCAGATGCTCCCCTCATGTTGTCTTATTCCAGCCTCAGTCTATTGACCACGGTGCTACTTTTCTAATTCTGTGTACTGAATCCATGTTCCACTTCTTGGCATCATCTGCCAGCTCTGGTTAAGAGTCCTTGCGCTCTGGAAGCCTAGGTGATGTTGGCCATGAAATAGGCCAACCTGTTGATCACTCCCTAAGCTACAACTATGGGGATGAGGCATAATGTTGCACAAAAGTGTTTATTGCATTAATCTTTCTGTGGAATGAGAAAAGAAAATCCTTTTTCAGCTCAGTCCCTAATAAAGTAGTAACTTTTCCTAGAGCCGAGTTAGGATTCCATAGGCCTTACATGGTTCCACTCTCCCTCTTGGCACTCTGCCCAGACTCCCTGTGAACAAGCCCAAGCTAGCCTGCTGGAGGATGAGAGACCACGTGGAACAAAGGCAAGCCATCCCACCTGAGGCCACCTTAGATCAACCAGTCCCCAGTTGATCTGCTAGCTAACCAGCAGCTGACCAAAGATGCATGAGTGAATCCAGCTGAGCTCAGAAGCCCAGTCTAAATTGCTGACCCATATAACTGTGAGCTAAATAAATGATTGTGGTTTTACACACTGAATTATGAGGTGGTTTGTTACAGAGCAAAAGCGAAGTGGTTCACCCTGCTAGGGAGGTCTGGTTACATCACAGGTTTAATAAACTGGCTCAATTTTACTTGATTTTGAGCTAATCTTTGGAGCTATTCTATTTTTCCCTAACATCCTCAGTTCTACCATAGCACATTAGTGTGATGATGGAGGTCGTGGGCACTGTAGTTGCAGACCTGGATCTGAATCCCTCTTAGGAGGGGCGTGCATTGGCAGGCGATCTCTTAACCACTGTGCCACCAGGGAAGTCCCTGAACCTTATTTTCTTATCTGTAAAACATGGAAAAGAATATCACTTAATAATATCACTTGTGGTTGCTTATCCAATATCTATTCCTGGCCCCCCTATTTCCTTTCTAACAGAACTCTGATTCCATTCAGGTATTCATACATCCTCTGCATTGTTCTCTGAATTCTCTACATAGCCTAGATCAGGGGTGATTCCTGATTAGTCTCAACTAAATCTTGGAAACTCCATTCTGCTCGCCAATGATTAGTTTAAGAGTGGGCTAGGATCAAATTCTGACTGATGAGAGCTGAGAAGGAAAGATGCTAGTGTGAAGGGGCTTCTGGGAAGGATTTCCTCACTCCTAAGAAGCAGATGAGGAAGGGATGATCTGTCTCTTCTGAAGACTGTTTGGTCTGGACACATGTCCTGGGACTGTCATAGCCATCTTGTGGTCATGGTTACTTGAAGGCAAAACCAAAGCCCTGAGGAAGGCAGAGGCATGAGATGGAAAGAACCTGGGTCCTTGAATGTATCACTAAACCACTGAAACTCCAATTATGGAATCAACCCTATCTCAGAGCTACTTGTTATGTGAAATAATAAGTCTCTATTATTTAAGTTTGTCTGGGTCAGGTTTTCTGTTTCTTGCTAATCCAAGCATCCTGAGTGATATATCCTTTAGGACAGCATCTGGCACATAGTGAGCCCTCAATAAGCATTAGCTCTTGTTTTTTTTTTTTTTTTGACTGCCCCACTTGGCATGCAGGATATTAGTTCCCCCACAAGGGATCGAACCCGTGCCCCCTGCAGTACAAGTGCAGAGTCCTAACCACTGGACCCCAGGGGAATTCCCAATAACCATTAGCTGTTGTTAGAATTGTATTGGTGGCTTTCCCTCAACCATTAACTAGTTTCAGATTTCACAGATCTTGGAAAAACACTTTACTGAATTCTACTGACCCTCCCAGTTATGATGCTGTGCTCTTTACCTATGGCCTTAGATCTAGAGCAGGGGTTAGCGCTATGCACGGTAGGCCAGATCTAGCCCACCGCTTGCTTTTGTAAATAAAGATTTATTAGGACAAAGCTACACCCATTCATCCATCACTGCTCTTGCATTACAACACCAGAGTTGAGTAGTTGCAGAGGGGGCTCTATGGTTGGCAAAGCCTGAAATATTTACTCTCTGGCCCCTTACAGAAAAAGTTTGCTGGCCTGTGTTTTGGAGCCAATTCTTTACCTCCTCAATGATTATTCACTCGGAGACCTTATTAACCAGGCAGATTACAGCTTCCACCCCAGAGATTCTGCTTCCCTGAATGTATCTGCTAGAACTCTTGTGGGCAAGTGACTGAAGACCTGACCCAAACTATGTGATGGCTTTAGGAATGGCTGGATCCAGGGGCTTAATGGGATAATCAAGATCATATTCCACTCTCTTCATCCCTTGGCCCCTCTTCCTCTGTGTTGATTCTAATCTCAGACAGTGTCTGCCATTGAGGGCCACAATATGGCCCTGCAGTGTCTGTCCTTCCTAGTTTATGTTTAGTGGGAAAGAGGTAAAATCTTTCTCAACATGTTTGGTAAAACTTTGGAGAATCACTGTGATTGATTTGACCTAAACATTGAAAGTGCATTCTAAAGAGCAACAGATAATTCTCTTCTTACCCTTTGTATTTTATGTATTGTTTCCTCATTGGTTGTCTTCCTCCACTAGATTACAAGCTTTAAGAACAGTGCTCAATGCTATCATATGTTTAGTAAATATCATTTTGAATGAATGAATGTATATGTATATTTATTTAAAAATTGGAATTGGGATCATTCCTCACGTATATTTTTGTTTTCTGCTTTTAAAAAATTTATGTATTTATATCATGAGCATTCCTTTTATGCCACTAAAGCTGTTTGGATTGCATTCCAAAGGCAACAAGCAGCCACTGAAGGTTTTTAAGCAATGGTTGACATTGACCCATTGGCTTATGAGCCATGTTGATCTCATTCTGGCCCATATTCTCTGCATTACCCATAAAGACTGCATCATACAAATATTTCCACATCTCCTCCCATCCCACCCTTAGAGAATTATGTTGTAGCTACTACAGTTTTTATTTTGAAGATGATTGGATATGACTGTTTTTTAGAGCCTGCTCGTGTTGCTCAGTTGTCCAAAGTGGTTGCAGTTGAGCGATGCGCCCGCTCCCTTTCCCCCGGGGCTGGGGCTGCTACCTCATCCTGAAAAGATGTGTTGCTTCATGATATCAGCTTACAGCAAACCATGCACAGATAACTTTTCAAACATTTCATTGTAATACTTCCACGCTTAAATCACCAAATTGGCTTTGGAAAATATGCAATCCCTTCAAATTACATTCTCTTTTAACTCAGAATTCACAATATCATAGGGCAGTGTGTATACTTAAGACATTTGAAAATGGGTACATAAAAGCTGCCTAGATTTACAGGATTTTTAATTTTTTTAAAAAGCACACTATTGTAAATGTAACAAATAATGAAAATCAGTTATACAATGTGCCTTTTTACCTGTACTGTATATAATATAATTGGGTATGGAAGGGATTGAGAAGTTGTTTTAGTTTCCTAGGGCTCTCGTGAGAAAGTATCACAAACTGGGTGGCGGAAAACAACAGAAATTTCTTTTGCCCCCATTCTGAAGGCTAGAAGTCCAGAATTAAGGTGTTGGCAAGGCCATGCTCTCTCTGACAGTACGGATAGAACCCTTCCTTGCCTCCGCCCAGCTTCTGGTGGTGGCCAACAATCGTTGGCTTTCCTTGGCTTGCAGCTTCACTCTCCGATCTCCGCCTCTGTCATCACATGGCATTCTTCCTGTGTGTCTCTGACTTCAAACAGCATTTTCCTCTTCTTTAAAGATACCAGTCGTATTGGATTAGGACCCACCCTAATGGCCTCATCTTAATTAAAGACCCTATTTCCAAATAAGATTACATTCACAGGTTCAGGGGGTGGAGTTTAGGACTGCAACATATCTTTTGGGGGGACAAAAATCCAACCTGTAACTGAGGTCATCTAGCCCATCTCTCTACTGGACGTATGATCTGCTGTATAAGATCTGTCCAGTCGTAAGACTTAGGCACAAAGTATGATAGTCAATTTAGGTCAAACCCAGGTAGGTGGAGTAGGGGCAGAAAGAGGGTCCTGGCACAAGATCGTCCCACACTCACTAGGGTGAGATAGTTGCTGTTGTATTGACCTAGTTATAGAAATTGGTTGCAGAGCTGGGTGGGTAGGATAAGGTCTAAAGAGTGATGCAGGGAAAGTCCGGTGCTGGGCAGAGCACAGAGAACACTGGTGGGGAATCCAGCTGGCTGGTAGCAAACATTCTGGGTAGATGTTTAGATGGGTGGGATGGTCATTATCCTCTAGATCACCACTGTTCAATAGGAATATAAAGTGAGTCACACTTGTAGTTTCAAATTTTCCAGTAACCATATCAGAAAAAGTAAAAAGAAATGGGGAAATTAAGACTTTATTTTACTTAATCCAAGATATCCAAAATATTATCATTTCAATATGTCATTAATATAAAAAAGATTAACATATTTTGCCTTCTTTTTTTTTTTGCCCCGTACTAAGTCTTTAAAATCCAACGTGCATTTTATACTTGCAGGGCATCACAAGTCATATTTCAAGAGCACGATAGGCATATGTATTAGACTGCACTAGATCCTAGAAGTGCTGCCCCTGGGTGGTAGGATCCAAGCCACAGGCTGGGTTGTAGGTGAGACTCAGTTCTGGGGAGAACACAGGCAGGAACAAGGCAGAATCTAAAGGTGTTTAGGGAAGAGTTTAGGACAGCCTGAAGAGGAAAATGTGTTCCAAGGAGAGACAAAGTGAATGAAAGGGGGAGGGATCTGCTTAAACTTGCTTAAGTAAGGGATGGGGTGATTATTCTGCACTGTGAGATCCCTTGGAAATGAATTGTAAGAAGTCACACCTGGGCTGGGAGTACTGGCAGGAAATTGGTCACTCTCTTTGTTTCCCTCTTTAGAGTTATGAAGCCTCTTATCTCCATTTCTCTCTGCTTGTCTGTTTTGTTAGTCTCCTTCTACACACTCATTCCCTCTTTTATTTACCTAATTGAACCTTAAAATGGCTTCCTCAGCTGCTAACTCTAGGACATCTCCACTCAGCTGCCCACCACTAACTCAGTGGCTTAGTGTTCCATGTCATGTTCCAAGGAGAGAAAATCTGACCTGCCACTTGGTCACTCATCCACCTTTGGCTCAGTTAGCTGAGGCCAAGCTCACCTAAGTACAAACGGAGCCACCCAGGCTCATCCCTAGTCTAAGGCAGTGGTTCTCAAAGTGGGTTCTCTCCACCAGCAGCATTAGAAACATAAATTCAGGGCCCTCACCCCAATCTATTGAACCAGTGTCTCTGGGGGTGGAGCCTAGGATACTATGTTAGAGCCATGGGTGAGGGCAGATTCCCTCAGAAGAGGATGTGGGTAAGGACTACCATCTTAGTACACCAAGGTAGAGGTGGAGAAGGCCAGAGCTGAGGTGAGTAGCATGGGGGAGCCCACACCTGGAGAGAGAGGTCCCAGATGTGACTGCAACTTCCATCACTGGGGACCAGTTGTGCTGGGAGGGTGTGAGGGAAGGGGTCACAGAGAACAGCTCAGAATGTGACCTAATCCTAAATCATGTCAGAACAGGACTACATGTGAGGGTTTTTAGTGAACCTAACTTTGAGGACCTGGGACAGGCAGAGGCAGAGAGGAAATGAGTGGAGGTTGGAGAGGGAGAGTCAGGTTGATAACAGCAAGTATATGGGGGCTGTGCTTGGCTGCTTCATCAGTTACAAGCTGATTTGGAGGAAGCTAGAACTAAATATTAAATCAAATTAATAACAGTTAAACATTAAAGAAAGTTGAATTTTTAAGCAGTGGTAGAAACTGCTGAGTGCCTGATGTTTGCTTTTTCCATGGCACATAAACTGTATTAAATTTGAAATTTACACTACAAAAATAGCTTCACAGGAGTACCATTATTAACATAACCTTACCTCTGACAGATTTTTTATTACTGGAGACAACTCTTCTATGTACAAAATATATTAACGGCTAGAGCAGAAGAAAAATACCAACTACAGATGGTAAGCATTTTCTTGCAAAGTCACATCAAATTTAACATTAGCCTTGGAAAATAGAAACATATTTAAACAAAAGATTTTAGATATTCTTAGAACTCTGTGTAGATTTTCACCTCTGGTCTAGGATACCATCATAAAGAGTGCAACTTTAAGTGATTAAAATAAGTTATTGAAAAAGTTTACCACTTCTGCTCAAAAATGCTATTTAACGTGTTGTTACAGCATTTTCATTGGCAGGTTCTATTAAGTGGCATTTATGGAAAAAGACATATTTTATTGGTATAAAATAGGTGGAGTCAGTATACTTGAGAAAGATGCCTAAAACAATGATTCAATAAAAGGTGCACAATTCCACTGAAAGCAAATTAGAAGTCATAAGGGAATAAAAAGGCTTTGAAAAGATTTTCTGCAATTCCCATACCCATTAGAGACATGTGCAAGTACAATCTACATTAGAAGTAGATTTCTATTTTAGGCAGAAAGAAAAGAGTGAATTCCTAAGAATTGTTATTACTCCCTTTCTTTCTCAAAAATATGTCTAAAAGTGTTGCCATGATGAAGCAATGCTGTGCATCTAACGCTGAAATGTAATCCAATGAAAGTTTAGCTCTCCTGAATAGTATAAATGGTTTTATTATTTTTTTTTAAATTTTATTTATTTATCTGTTGGTTATTTTTGGCTGCGTTGGGTCTTTGATGCTGCGCACAGGCTTTCTCTAGCTGTGGCGAGCAGGGGCTTCTCATTGTGGTGGTTTCTCTTGTTGCCGAGCACAGGCTCTAGGCACGCGGGCTTCAGTAGTTGTGGCACACGTGCTCAGTAGTTGTGGCTCGCGGGCTCTAGAGCGCAGTCTCAGTAGTTGTGGCGCACGGGCTTAGTTGCTCCGCGGCATGTGGGATCTTCCCGGACCAGGGCTCGAACCCGTGTCCCCTACATTGGCAGGCGGATTCTTAACCACTGCTGCGCCACCAGAGAAGTCCCTAAAGTATTCTTACATGAATCGTTTTTTTAAACAATGAGATTTAAACTTACATGCAGGCAAGCATAAACAAATCCTCCTCTGCATATTAAGCATGTATACATTTTTCTGAATTGTCACTTACATATTTGAATGTACTGCTTTAAACTTCACAACAGGCAATCTCCACAGCTCCTCCATTGTGTTCTGAAATCCTAACTTCTGTTACCTAATACAAAGCTACAAATTGTGTTAGTGGATGGTTGGGAACAGTGGGTGCCATTAGAATAGGGCAAATGCGTATGTATACATCAGTTTGCTAAGTTTTATTGCCATTATACATCTAGTCGTTTAAATTGTGATCACAACTATTGTTGAAATTGATTAGAGTATCTTCAGAGCTTCTGTAGCACAAAGAAGCATTTCTAAAGGAACTTGTTCACTGCTTTGCGCATAGTAGGCACTCAGTATTTGTTGAATGAATTTCTAGCACCGTCCCCTGAATTTCTAGTCTAACTTCCAGAACTTTATATAATTTTTGGATCACTTTAATTGTAGGGCTGTATCCAGACTGATGAGATGTTCTTGGAGGTAACTTGATCTGGAGAATAAAATGACATCACTGATGAATTAAAAGAAATGACTGACACTGACTTAGGATTAAAATGTATCAGACTTTATTAAACATTTAAAATTGCAATAGTAGTAGTCTTAAGCAAAACTAATAAGGCAGACAAAAAATCCCCCATGCATACGTTTGCATGCATACATACAACTTTTTATTCTGCTTTTAAACTTGATTATTTGTAAACTCTTCTATATTATATGGTCTTTATAATCGCCATTTAAATGGCATTAAAACCCATGCTGTTGATGTAATTCGCCATTAGGCTGTTAGCTTATCCCCCTTTTGTTATTAACCGAAGTTTGCAAAGAACATATGTACTATCATATCAAGAATAAATTCCTAACAGTGCGATTACAGGGTCAAAGGGTAAGGTACACTTATTTTTATTTCATTTTCTATTTTTTCCCTCCTGAGATAACGAAATACAGTACTGTACGAAGAGCTTTTCCTACATTGCTCTCGAAGGCTTATCTTGTTAATTATCCTTGCAGGCATTATTATCCTCCTATCCTTGAGCTACAGCTGAAAAAGGAGCCCAAGCAGGCCGGTAACCTGATCTCGTTCACCAGGTGAGTCCTGGATGGTGGTGGCAACTACGATACCAGGAGCAAAACACCCCGGGGGATTTGCTGGAACCCTCGGTAAGGGAATAGTGTCTCTTCCCTCACCCCAGCGACGCTCAATCCGGAGCGCAGCGGATTCGGTTATCACTTTGCTCGCCCCAGCCTCTCAGAGCCCTGCACACAGTGGGCGTCTAATAAAAGCGGTCTGCATTGCACTGACAAAAGCTCTCCGTTAAGCGGGATAAACACTAGGCCCTGCTGGCACCACAGACCTCGGCGCCGCCACTCTGCTTCTTTGCCCGCTCCTTCCTCAAGTTCCTGCATGGGACAGCACGACACACCAACACAAACCGACGCGCCCAGGCCGAACCCGGGCCTGGCGCCCCGGCGCCCCAGCGCCCCAGGCACCCTGCGCGAGCCTGCCCAGGCCCCGCCCCCGCCCCGCCCTCCGTCCCCGCCCCCGTCGGTCCCGCCCCCGTCGGTCCCGCCCCCCCGTCTCCTCCCCGCCCCCGGAGCCGACGAGTGGCGGCGGCGGCCCCAGGACCCGGTTCCTTCAGACAAGAGGGCGGGTGGAGGAGGAAGCGGCCGAGCCCCGAGTCCTGCTCCGGCGCCGCCGAGCACCGCCCGCCTCAACCGACCGGCCCCGTCGGCTCCTGGGCCTTGCCGAGCGGAGAGGAGGGAAAGGCGGAGGCGGCTGCGTGGAGGCAGCCAGGGCGCGGGAGCGGGCGGAGGCGGCGCGGCCGGCCGCGGCTGCCGCTTTGTTGTGCGTCCCGGGCCGAGGAAGGAGAAGTGGGAGGAGGGGGGAGCTCGGCGTCCCGCTCCCTCCGCGGCTCATGGCGACGACGCTCGGCACATCCGGGACCCTCCGGCCGTGGCGGCCGCGGCGCCGGCTGCTCGGGCCCCAGCTCCGGGCGCTGTGGTGACTGCGCCGCGCCTCGCCGTCGCCCCCGCCCCGCCCGCCGCCCGCCGCCCGCCGGCCCCGGGCCCAGCGCCGCGGCCGCATCCCCGTCGCCGCCCCCGCCGCCGGGGACATGTCTAACCCCGGGGGCCGGAGGAACGGGCCCGTCAAGCTGCGCCTGACAGGTGAGGGGGTTGGGCGGGCGGCAGGAGCCGGGCCGGGGCGGCCGCGGGGTGGCCGAGCCGGCGGGGGGGTGCCTGTGGCCTTGAGAAGGGCCAGGGTCGCAATCAATGGTGAGTGGAGAGTCGGGAACGTGGGAAGGCCTAGTTCAGGGAGAGTAATTGCAAACCACTCTGCCTTGTTTGGAAATTCTTACAAAAGCCAAGGGTGACTCGGGTGTCTTTTGTTGGGGGGGGGGTTCCCCCGGTTGGAATTCCTGGCGGATTTGAGGTCGAAAAGCCTGGTCCGAGAAGCACGGTTCTCTCTCGGGGCGTCGGGGAGCAGCCCTTGGGCTACTGCCCAGGTGGGGTCGTGGAGGGGATGAGGAGCTCCTGTGGAGGGGATTATTGAATCCGGCTGCTGACTGCGCGCAGTAAACACTCCTTAAAGATGGAGCGCTTAACGGGAGAGAGAGAGAGAGAGAGAGTGTGTGTGTGTGTGTGTGTGTTCCCTGGTTGTTAACTTGTTCGCCCACTTGTGCCCGCGTGCAAAACCTTCCCTCTCTGCTGCCAGCCACAGCAGCCGGTGCCACACACCTGAAACGCACGGCTTTGAGAGGGAAGGAGACTGAGGTTGACTTTTCCGGTGTGTCTGCCTGATCCGACGACTCGGGCTCATTGTACCCTCTGTGTTTTGGAAGTGTTTGATTGTAGGGTAGCGTGTTTGGGGTTTTTCCTTGTAGGCCGCAGAGCTTGTGTCTCACTGCTAACTCTAGACCTGCTTTAAAAACACCTTTTTTTGGGTCCATTTCTAAGTATGTACTCAGACAGACTTTAAGCGAAGTTTTCTCTCTCTCCCCACTCTCCTCCCCTTCCCTTTTCTAAATGGAAAAGAATGTCTGGAGGGGTTGCTAGATAGCAGGCTTTTCTTACAAAGTGTTTATGATTCCAAGTGCATGAAATCTTTAACGTTACAGGTACGTTATGCTTACAGTGCCGTTTTTGATATTCTTACATGGTCGTGTTACCCCAGTATAAGGAAAAATTATTTGGGGTTTGAAAAGTGTAATGGAAACCAGTGTACTTATCCTAGTTTCAGTATTCATTCTTAATTATCCACGTTGGTATTCAGATGTGTGGTGAGAAAGGTGGCTTTCCTTAGACAATCTGTGTATGTGTGTGTGGGTGCGCATGTCAGAATAAACTGTAATTATGTTTGCCTCCACTAGACTTTGAGATTTATATGGACTAATTTTGTAATTGAATGCTTGTGTGTCACATCCCAGTCCACTGGCTGAACTTTTGAGATAAAAACTTGCAGTGAATTAGGTATTTGAGAATTTAGCCTGACTGTATATGTTGGCTGCAGTTTTTAAAATATATTACTTTCATGACAGTTTTACCTTCCTTAGGGAAGATTGCAAAGAATCATTAACTGAGTGGTTCTTAATGGAAAACCTGGATTGGGAGATGCCTGTCTCCCCTACTTCCCCCCATTCAGTTTCCTTATTTTCTTACGAAGCAATGGAAACCTTTATAAGGGATCTTTGTTGCTTTAGAGTTTATCTACTCTGACTCTCTGGAGTCAGTCCTGTGTCAGTGATGGTGGAAAGAACCTGTGATTCCAGGTGTGCAAAAAGTATTAGAAATTGGCTTGTGGCCACTTAATTCCTTCTAGGCTGTATACACAATAAGAAAATGAGGGAGAAAACAGGGATTTTGATTTTCTGCAGAATGAGTTTGAGGTTTTTAGTGTGACTCAACAGATCTTAAAGTGTTTATCTGTGGTTTCCTTACTGAATATGATACATTATAAAAATTCACGAGTAAAGTTAGGAGAAAAGATTACACTTATTCCCTATCCCTCCAAAAAAATACTGGGCTAAATTTGTAGAGTGATTTTGTATTTTTACATTTTTCTGAGGAATTTTAAATACACTGTGTCCCCTTAATTGTAAAAACAGTTTGAGATACTCTCAATTTCTTAAAACCATTGGGAATTTGCCTCTGTCATATTTTAAGAGAAAACTATTCAAATATTAAAGACATCGCCCTCTCCATTTTGGTTACGTATGGTGGATTTTCTTGTTTTGCCAGGAAAGTTAACATGTATTTTTTCATTTTTGTTCGTTTACAGATTAGATGGTATAGATTTTAACAAATAAGATTTCAAGAGCTGGATTCAATTAGCAGCTTTTTAGGACATAAACATTAAAGAGTTAGATGGAAAAGATTGTTTTGACTGACTGGATAAATGACAGGGCTGTGTTTGATGTGCGTCCAGGAATTGGTCTGGAGCTGGTGCCCAACTTTTCAGTCCATCTTGAGAAGCCAAATAAAATATTTAACCTAGGCCTCGTTTTGTTTAAAAAAAAAAAGTTGATTCTTTGTTAAGACCTTAAGAAATGTTTGGCATACCTTTAGACTAAGTGTTTAACAATTCATTTAGATTCAGGTTCCATAAGAGAGGAAAATTAAAAGAAAAAAAAAAACAGATCCCGTAGTGATTTTTTATTTGGTTTACAATACACTTGGGCTGTAAGATGATTTAAAGTAATTGTTCTTTGCTTTAAGTTAATATCATACTAGTATTTTAAATTTATAGACTGTCTTTGACTCCCAGGTACCTTATGAATTGTAGTTACTCAATTATATCCTTAATGTAGAGTTGCCCCTTTACTGAAAGATGTAAACAACTCTTGCATGGTGTCTGTCTGTCACACACATACACACACACACACACTCTCATACACACACTCTCACACATACATACAAACTGAAGGAGAAATATTTGAACCATGAGATCTCTGCGCACAACAGATATTAAACTTTTCCACATGTTATTCCTGAGACCACAGTCAACTAGCAAACTGTTTAGTATTTGTTGATGCAAAGAAGGAAGGGCTAATTTAATCCCAAATTTGAGATTCCTCAGGTCATTGGTGGTTAAAATCTGATTTGGTCCATCAAGCTACTTCTATTTTTTATGACACTTTAACACTTGATCATTAAAATGGGCTGTATGGTAAAGCTATCAATTTCAACTAGTATTTGTAGAGCAAATTGATTATAAAATGTAAAACTTGTATACATTATACTTATGAATAGGCTTTTCTTTTGATGGTTTGGATAGAAGATATTCTTTGATGGTAAAAAAAAATTGGGGGTAATTTTTTATATTACTGTTTTTAAAAAATTAATTAATTTATTTATGGCTGTGTTGGGTCTTCGTTTCTGTGCGAGTGCTTTCTCTAGTTGCGGCGAGCGGGGGCCACTCTTCATTGCAGTGCACGGGCCTCTCACTATCGCAGCCTCTCTTGTTGCGGAGCACAGGCTCCAGACGCGCAGGCTCAGTAATTGTGGCTCACGGGCCCAGTTGCTCCGCGGCATGTGGGATCTTCCGAGACCAGGGCTCGAACTTGTGTCCCCTGCATTGGCAGGCAGATTCTCAACCACTGCGCCACCAGGGAAGCCCTATGTTACTGTTTTTTAAAACCAAAGGCTGGAAAAAGCAGTTAGTATAATTTCTAATATTTAAAATTCTTAGATATGGAGAAATAACAGATTACTTCTCCAGAACATTTATTGCAGACCTTTTTGTAATTTAAATGTTTTCGTACAGTGCTTCTCATGTTCTTAATTTATAAAACCCTAAGCAGTAATGAGGTTAACCTTGTCTATAGCTAAAGGAAAATTACCTTTAAACGTCTCACTTTAGATATGCTGGTATCTTAGTATTGTTTTACTGCATATTTTATTGATTCAAGGCTTTAAAAATTACAACTTGATTATACCTCGCAGTTTTCTAAGTGGGAATGTGCCTGTACACCATAATGACTTGTTCTAGGGGCGTTAGTGATTTGAATGTCCCCAGTTCATTTTTTTTTTTTCTTGGTTTCTGAGGAGGAAGCCAATGTGGCTTAGCTCCTTCCTTTTCTCTTAAGTTTCTCTCTTCTAGTCAAACCTTTAGGCCGGGGGGCTGAACCTGCCTAGGTGCTTCATGTAGTTTGGTTTTCATTGGCGAGTAAAAGAGAGAGAGAGAGAGAGAGTGAGAGTGTGTGTGTGTTTAATCATGGATTCTACTTTTTTCCTGTTGGTTGAACTGTAACTATCACAACATACTAACATGTCATTTATTTAGCATGTAATTTAGCATATTTAGTATATAACTCAAGTTTTCAAAGTAAATGAAGATCCATGCTTTAACCATGCAAGGTTTTAATTTTAGCTATTTTTGATGTCTTTTAAAGATTTTGAAGGCTTTTAAAGATGTAATATGCCCTACTCCTTTCAAATAGACCATACTTAACAGAACTTAATGTTTTATTTATGATTCAGTATCATTATGAATATACGTTATTGTGCTGTTGTAATGTGTAGTACAAGGATATCATCATGGTATGTAGAGAGAACCGTTTGATTCTGGCTGTATGGTGACATGTTTAACCCTGTTCTTACTGCTTTTTCTCTCTTTGCCTTTGTTTTTGTTTACTGTTACTTTCTTTGCTCTAAGAAAGCTGAACCCTTGAAATGTACTGTTGTAATCAACATTGTTATGTGTTTCTGTATGAGGGACGTGTACTGAATGCTTATTAAGTGCCAGACACTGTATTAAGTTTACATCTGTTATTACTTTTAATTCTCATAATAGCTTCAAGAGGTAGGAGAAATTTGGAGAGGTTAAGTACATGTCAGAACCCAAGCTGTCTGTCTAGAAAGCCTGTTACAAACTTACAGGATTTTGTGTGGAAAATAAAATAATTTCATTTATTTGGAATTACCCTTGTCCCTTGAGATACGTGCTTACCTTTTAAGGCTCAACTCAAGGTACCCTTATCCACAGATCTTTCCTTGACCTGTGTTGACCTTTCCTCTCTGACTAAGAGGCTCTTCCTCTAGCATCAGACCTAACTCAATGAAGGGCATTTGTTGTCTGTGCTGTAAGCTCCATGAAGGCAGAATCCTGTTTCAGCATGCATTAAGAGCCTTTTGGCATTTTATTTTGAATGAATGCTGGAGACATATAA